GGCGCAGTAGGCAGCGCGTAAGTCTCATAATCTTAAGGTCGTGAGTTCGACCCTCACTCGGGGCATTATTTTGAATCACATAATAGACAACTTACTTGCATAATATTTATTGGAACAATAAAAAACAAAATTAAACATTTCCATAGAATAATAACCAAGCAAAAAGTTAACTACTTCAAAGACTTATTTATCTTTGTTGAAACTATTTACTTAATAATAATTAATAATTTTGTAGTCTATTAATTCAAAAAGTACCGAGTAGGTCAATTTGATACTGATCGCTCAGTTTCGGATAAATTAAAAAAAAAATCAATGCCAAAACTGGGAGAGTTTATAATATTTTTGCGAAGATCAGATCCGATAATATATGTTAAACAATGTAAAATCCGTGAAATATAACTTATTTCTAAGGTGGTTTCATTTTGATCCTCGTTTTGGTAAATTAGGTGTACAATCTAATATCGTTATAAGTCACCTGGACAAGCAATACAACTTACAAAAATGTTAGAACAGATTAAACTATGGCATAATGTTGAAAGGATAAAAATATTGAATTCTTTTTTTTATTATTGTTTTTTATTGTTAAATTATAAAATAAAAGGTTGCAGCGGTGGGATTCGAACCCACGCCTCCAGAGACTGGTGCCTAAACCAGCGCCTTAGACCGCTCGGCCACGCTGCCTGTTTCATTCGGCAGTAGACACTAAGTAAATGTCAAAGTTGGTGGATGCGCCGGGATATTGAAATTTATGTATTTATATTTTTATTATAAAACAATAAAAATATATCAAAATTATTTGAAAATTACTTCCAATTTTCATATAATTCATTAAAAATTGAATCTAGTTAGAAATATGTGAGACAAGCAGACAACATTTGAAGTTTCTAATAAAATAATTACTATTTGTTTCTCTTTATTTTCATTCCAAAAAAATATCTAAATTATTTGAAATTTGGAAATACAAATTCATATCATATCAATCGGTGATAGTTTGGTACAAAAGAGACATTTTTAAGATATTGATTGCTTAAAAAAGTCTAGTAGACTCATATCACATTTCAATCGCATATGAACACAACTATTATAGACTAAAGCCGCATTGTTTCATCAAAAAAGTCACGGATTTTCAAAAATTTGAATCAAGTTTGAAATATATGAGACAAGTTGACAACATTTGAAGTTTCTTATAAAATGATTACTAAATGTTTCTATTTTGTTTTCAAATTTAAAATAAAAAATATTAGCAGGGACGAAATTAGTACAAGAGGATTATTTAAAATATTTTTTTTATGTATTATTTGTTTATTATAGAATTTTTATTTATACATTTTGAACTTAATGCCTTCCATCAACCAAATTTATATCTTCCTATTGATATACTTAACATTAATACTTTATATGTTGAAATTAGAAAAAAATCTGAAAAATTTATCTAATATTGTTCAATTTGATGGATGATGTATTATTTTGTAAAAATCCATCTACTGTTGATTCCGCTTAATCGGGACACATCGGGACTAGTATATTTGTCTCGAAGTTCCATTTCCATTTGTTATTTGCTGGGTATTGTTTCAGTTCCTTAGGATTTGTCCCTAATAAGTGGCTGTCCTGATTAATAACTTCTATTTATTAGATAAATCACTATATCACTTTTCAAATCAAATTGTCAGATATTATTCTGTTTCATGTTATATAATACCACAGCCTCGATGGCGCAGTAGGCAGCGCGTAAGTCTCATAATCTTAAGGTCGTGAGTTCGAGCCTCACTCGGGGCATAAATTTTAATTCCAGTAATTCACACACAATTGTTCAATTATAAATAAATCTAAAGTCAATCAATGTACCTTGAAACTTGCTCATTAAATACGGTTCGTTTTGTTTGAGTGCAGTTATAGTATAGTTTCTATTAACAATAATTATATGATATTATAATTTAGAAAAATATAAAAATTGACGTTATTTTATACAGTTAAAATAATAACTAAAGTATTAAACAGAAATCTAAATATTTTTCGAAAACATTAGATAGAATTATGTTGCTAGACAAGAACCGCATTCCTCGAATGACAAGCTATGATAACCACTACACCACGGAAACTGATATCTTTAAATATTTTGATGATATCAATTTCCTTGAATCATTCATTATTCTTTATGTAAATTTCATTAAAATGTGTATTCACTGAGTAAGCAAACGCTCCGCATGCTTATTTTGAATTTATTTCGATATTTTTGTTTGTTTTTGTTATGATATACTTTTCGATAATACTAAAATTGTTTCCGCCCGGGATCGAACCGGGGACCTTCCGCGTGTTAGGCGGATGTGATAACCACTACACCACGGAAACTGATATCTATAAATATATTTATGATATCAATGTCGTGACTCATCGAATATTTGTTTTGATATATCATTAAAAAGTGGAGGCGCCGGGCATCGATCCCGGTACCTCTCGCATGCTAAGCGAGCGCTCTACCATCTGAGCTACGCCCCCTTGATATATATAAATTTTGTTTTTTTTTGTTTATTTTATGATATACTTTGGTTCATAAGAAAATTGTTTACACGTAGGTCTGAACCTAGGAACTTTTGTATGTTAGGAGTGTGTATTAGAAACTTACTTAGCCATAGAAACGCACATTTTTTTATATTTCGTTGATATCAATTTAGTGATATAGTCAATGTTATATTCAACTGCACATGCCATAGAAAGTCTTGATTTGAATCTTAGTAATTTTTGCCTTTACTATAATTTGACATAAATATCTTTATTTCTAGATATCATGTTGTGTTTAAAATGTGTCATCGCAGTCGGTAGGATTCGAACCTACGCTCCGGAATCTGATTTCTAGTCAGACGCCTTAACCGCTCGGCCACGACTGCTTATATCTTCAGATTAATCTTGATATATCCATTTTTATGATACATTTTAGTATCTTAAAAGAAGTTAAGCATTAAATGTGGTGATACCACTTGCTAGGCCCCGGGGAGATTCGAACTCCCGATCTCCTGTTTACTAGACAGGCGCTTTAACCAACTAAGCCACGGCGCCGTTAATGTATCTAATTATGATATATTCTGGATAATTATGTTTATATATCATTAGGTATCATTAAAATTGTTTTTCCGCCCGGGATCGAACCGGGGACCTTCGCGTGTTAGGCGGATGTGATAACCACTACACCACGGAAACTGATATCTTTAAATATATTGATGATATCAATTTCGTGACTCATCGAATATTTGATATGATATATCATTAAAAAGTGGAGGCGCCGGGCATCGATCCCGGTACCTCTCGCATGCTAAGCGAGCGCTCTACCATCTGAGCTACGCCCCCTTGATATACATAAATTTTGGTATTTTTTTGTTTATTTTATGATTACGTTTGTTATAACAAAATTTTTATACTCAGCATAAAATATAGGTCCTTCTGTATGATAGCGTATGTATTAGAAACTCACTAAACCATGGAAACGCACATTCTTTTGATATTTCGATGATATCAATTTAATGATATAATCAATGTTATATTCAACTGCACATAACAACATAGAAACTCTTGATTTGAATTTTAGTAATTTTTGCTCTAATTATAATTTGACACAAATATCTTTATTTTTAGATATCATGTTGTTTTTAAAATGTGTCATCGCAGTCGGTAGGATTCGAACCTACGCTCCCAGAGGGAATCTGATTTCTAGTCAGACGCCTTAACCGCTCGGCCACGACTGCTTATATATTAATATAAATTTGATAGATCTCTTTTTATGATACATTTTATATCTTAAAAGAATTGCATTGGTGAATATCACTGCTAGGCCCCGGGGAGATTCGAACTCCCGATCTCCTGTTTACTAGACAGGCGCTTTAACCAACTAAGCCACGGCGCCGTTAATGTATCTAATTATGATATATTTGGATAATTATGTTTATATATCATTAGGTATCATTAAAATTGTTTCCGCCCGGGATCGAACCGGGGACCTTCCGCGTGTTAGCAGCTTCTAGCACTAGGTCGGTGATTCTAGTGTCTCTTTCGCGGATGTGATAACCACTACACCACGGAAACTGATATCTTTGAATAATTTGATTTGATTTTTTTTTAATCATTTATTCTTTTTTCGGTAAATATGTATAGAAGTTCTGCGCCAGCTTCCTTGCGTAGTCCTAGATCCTAGGAATGTTCGCTTCCTCGTGCAATTCGTCTATCCTTGTAGACCGGTCCTTATTCAGTGCAAGGCGCAGGTACTTGTTTTGGTATACCTGAAGGATTTTGAAGTTGGTGTCGCTGGCACTGCACCAGACGGGGTCGCCGTACATCATGATGGGTCTGTGTATTGACTTATATATTAGCAGTTTGTTGCTGCTCTCGATGCCGCTTCTCTGTGCCATCAGTAGGTAGAGCTGTCTCATCAGTCCGTATAGTCTGGCTACCGTCTACTTCATGTGTACCTTGTGGGTCTGACTCTTGTCCAGGTGGGTCCCCAGGCCTATCGCAGCTCTCGGTTGGATTTTCCTTCCGAAGACGAAGGCTGTTTTTTCTCGTGATGTGTTGATGTTGAATACACCCACGTCGGTCTTGTCAGCTAGTTTATTCTGATTTTCTACCTGTCAAAGTAGTTGATGGTCCGCATGTCGACTTCCTTTTTCTGGATCCCGATGTTGATCATAGCCGAGATCCCGTACACCACTGTATCATCTGCAAAGAGTGCAAGATTCGTGTTGTGTCCCTTCGGAATGTCGTTGATGTACAGGGTGAATAACACGGGAGCTAGCACCGACCCTTGAAGCACTCCTGCAATTACCTCTTTCGGTGGGCTCACATCCTCGTTGCCCTTGACTGTCACATGGCGATCTGTGAGGTAGCTGTGCATGAGACGAATTTGTGGCTCTGAGAATTTGTACTTAATCAGTTTGTAGAGAAGTCCGTCTGTTTAGATTTGGTCGAACGCTTTCTCTATGTCTATGAGTCCAAGTGCGGTGGATTTCTGCTCGTTAAATGGAGATGTCATTGGCGAGACTCGCAACCTGGTGGACCGAGCTATCCGAAGATCTGAATCCGTGCTGCTCGTTGATCAGGATGTTGTTGTCGTTCGTTCGCATATTTTGCTTGTGCTGTCGAGAAGGCTGATTGGGCGGTAGCTTGCTAGTTGGTGCGGATTCTTTCCTGGCTTTGGTATCGAAATCACCCATCAGGTCAGCAATGTACCAGATTTCAGCGTGCCGTTCATGATATGCGTCAACGCGACAAGGCCCTTCTTCGACAAGTTCCTCAGGATGATATTCTGGATAGTGTCTTCACCAGGAATATTCCTGTGCGCGGACTTAAGGATGACCTTCTTTACCTCGCTGTGAGAAAGTTCATCTGCACCCTGTCGTCCTGGCTCCGAGTCCGTTGACGATTCGGTTTATAGTTTATAGTCAGTAGTCATATTTTGACATTTTTTATAGCCTCGATGGAATAGTAATCTCAGTTCACCCTGTGCAGTGGAGCACCCCCGAGCTGAACACAATTAAGAACCAACCAAGAAGAACAAAAAACAAGAAAAAATCCCTATCAATCATCGTTGGAGAGCATTGCTATGAATCTGATCAGCAGTTCATTATGACCTGTAAACAAATATTAAAAAATGATGTAATGGTTATGTACAACCGACCTCCTAAAAATGACAATTATTCGAACCCAAAGTATCGAAGATCACAAAACTCTTTTAAAAGCACTTGAAGAAAACAAAACAAAATTTTATACGTTCTCGAGGGAGAATGAGAAGAACCATGCCTTTGTCATGTAGAACCTTCCAGAGGACTGGTCATCGGAAGAAGTTGAAGAGGATCAGAAAAAGAGTACAAGAGATACAAAAAGGTCTCGAAGATGAGGACCACACCAGCATTATTCGTGCTTCTGGAGAACACTATCCTCAAGGATCTACAAAAGATCTACAAAAAACAAAATGGAGCCAAAATTCATAAACCCAAATGGAGCCATAATCAAACAACTTCGTCAATTGAATAAATATCGGATGGTATAGATTGAACATAAACATTTTCTACTGTCTTATCAAATTCAAGATTTTCCTGGAAATTTTTCAGAAAATTATAATAATGACTCACTAGGCCTGTTCAAAATGTGGGCATTGTACCACATTTTGAATAAGCCGCTCAAAAAGTTAAATTATTAACATATGTGATAATTATTGTCCTATATAAATTATGATGCATGTTTGTGTAATATCAAAACAGTTGGCAGCGGTGGGATTCGAACCCACGCCTCCGAAGAGATTGGTGCCTTAAACCAGCGCCTTAGACCGCTCGGCCACGCTACCTGGTATATGTCAATTATGGTGGATGCGCCGGGATATATTCAAATATTTTTTGACATTTTTAATAAATACCACTAAAAATTTGTCAAATTTCTTAGCGGAAAATAAACTAGATAAAATAGTCAAATGTGAAATAAATAGATCAATTGACAACTATCACCTGACAAAAACGAAATTAGTTGACATTTGACATTTTCATAGCCTCGATGGCGCAGTAGGCAGCGCGTAAGTCTCATAATCTTAAGGTCGTGAGTTCGACCCTCACTCGGGGCATTACTTTTGATTAAGTAACATAAAACATGTGAAGTACATAAAGGATATATAAAATGTAATCAAAATTACCTGCATTTTACAATAGTAGCATCAAAACAGTATAAATATATTATTTAGACAAAACCGAGAAAAATCTTAATAAATTTAAATAAAATATTCTCATATATAATATATTCATTGGTGGGCAGAAAAACCTGTGGCAATTTGATTTTTTTTTTGTGAATATTTTATTGTACTTAGTTTATTTTTTGATGTTTTATTATTTATATTATTTGTAAAGTTCCTTTTTGAACAAAATCATCACAAAAATTTGAAATTTATAGTTCCAACTTAATGAAAGACAAACATTAAAGTTTACAAAAAGATTCTTAAAAATAGAATTTTAACTTATATTATATAGTTCAAACCCATATGAAAATAAGCCTACAAAAAAAATCATAAATATAACAAATTTACATATTTTTGGCAATTTCATTCATATAATTTTCAATATAAATCGTTTTTTATCAACTTATATTTTTTTTTGTAAGATGTTATTTTTTTCAATATTTCGTAGTGATAAATTGAATAATAAAAATTATTGGCAGCGGTGGGATTCGAACCCACGCCTCCGAAGAGACTGGTGCCTTAAACCAGCGCCTTAGACCGCTCGGCCACGCTACCTAGGTATATGTCAAATATAGTGGATGCGCCGGGTAATTTATATTTATTTTTGACATATTTAACATAAAACATATAAAATATCTAAGCATTTTATACTATTGTAAAATATTCATTCAATTGATAAATTGACAACTGTCATCTGTCAAAATAAAAATATATTGACATTTGACGTTTCCATAGCCTCGATGGCGCAGTAGGCAGCGCGTAAGTCTCATAATCTTAAGGTCGTGAGTTCGACCCTCACTCGGGGCATTACTTTTAATTGCATAACATATAATTATTGTAATCATATTTTCGACTAATGAAAATTCGTTAATTGAATGAAATGCATATATTTTAAACGATTATATTGATTAACATACCATAGTACATTAGAATGTTAAAACCTTTCAATTTGAACAGATACACATTTTCTCATGTATTGATTTTAGAAACTACAATCATACCAACGCTCCTAACAAAACTGACACTTATATAGAATTACTTAACCTAACTTACGAAGGTATCAACTATCTGAACTAAAGCTGATGTTGCCTAAGTCAATTTAAGAAGATCACAACTTATTTAGTATCTTATGTAAACTACTTAACTTGCTTAACGAGTTTAATCCTTTCAAAAATTTCAGGATTTTTACTCGTATAGTGAAAAATATTCAAAAATACACATTATATGTGTACACAGGTATTAAAAATGATGTAGTAGACGCGCAATCCGGGACTTCTCTTCTCATGGTCACTCGTTATGCAAAACGTCGCTCGTTAAAGTCACTTTTCTCACAATTCATTTTGCTCGTTAAGCGAGGTTCTACTGTATTCTAAATAAGTAAAAAAGTATTTTCTTTCTCTTTTAGACTTTCCATCCTTATAAATTTCAAATAATATTGCATAATAATATGATTTAAATAATTATTAACGTATTTTACCCTAATATTTAATGTAAATATTTTGTACAACAAATTAATCTAAAATTAACTAATTCTAATGGACATATTCTGTTATGTAATGAAACAATGCATATGTATGTACATTAGAATACATGGATTCAAAAATTGGAATACCATAAATGCATGACCGAACTCAATATTAGGGGACACGACTTCGTGGTTACTTTCAGCGCCTTCTACTCCCCTTTTCAGGAATTCAAGTACCATTGTTCTCCGAATTCGTTGCGCGCTCGCCATTATTGCAAGTTTCCATTTATATTTTTTATGATTCCGGATTGTACGTATGCACTGGCCTTTTCCACTCCATACATATTTCTCTCATATTCAAACACACATATTACATACATGTGAATATTCATATAAATATGTATGTATGCATTTATATAATCCAAATGCCCGAAACTTTTGTTTCATCCTTGCAAGTAGTGTGTTGTAGTTTGCTACGCAAAAGTTTACATTCACGATGTTTTTTTTTTCCTGTTGTATGAACTAGGAATGAAAAAGTTAACAAAACTTTTCTCGGCGTATGTGAGCATACACATTTTTTTTTACAGAAACGATAAAATTTTTATTAACTTTTATCTGAAATTATATAGTCTGCTTTGCGTTTTCCGCTTTTGGCCCCAAAGCTCGCATGCTAATGCAGTGCACACATTCTACATAATTAAATTTAAATTATTAATTTAAAACTTAGTTTATTTAGCGCCTATATGGCTGTAAAATATATTTCATTATTCATTTAATCAATATTAATTCATTAAAATAAAAATTCTGTAATTGTAATATTTTTTTACAAATTTATTTCACATTGTTTGAGAATAAATATTATTTTTAAATACTCAAATTTAACAAAAAGTAATATTATTTACAAATATATTTCACATACTATAATTTTTAGTATTATGTTATTTATTATTTATTATAATTTCTAAATGTATTAATATAATCATTTCAATTATACTTTTTTCTAATTTAAAGGTATTTAAAACTTCGTATTCGTTCTACTTGATAATGCAAAATATGAAGGAGGTTCAGAAATAATTGAAATCACTGCAATTATAAACAGCAGATATTATGCAAATAAGAGGTATGTAGATTTTTGTAAATATTGCATTAATATATAAAAAATTAGAATCTGTTTTAGCACATATTTGATTCAATATGGATAATCTACAATAGTTTATTAATACATTTATTTTGTATTATAAAGTTTGATTTATTAAGTTTACTTTAGGAAATAATTCAATAATCAAATATAAAGGATAATGTTTATGTTAAGTCCTATAGTCTTATTTGTACAATTGTGTTGAGTTTTTCTTAAATTTATAATTTATTGTTGCTATAAAAATTATTATTTTCATTACTTAACAATTTATATTAGAGACGTGTGCATTTTATTTATATAATAATTAACTTAATAATAATATAATATTATATATTGCAACAGTTATACATTAATAAATAAAATCTGTAACCCAAATATCCTTCCCAGATTATCCCAATTCCAATACCTAACATCCCTCGATCGATCCTTCTTGATCCTACTCCGCTGATTTTTTTCCTCATTCTTCTGTTTTTCATATATATCGTTGTGGAGTCTTAGAAGGGTTTATCAATATTAAATGCAATATTCTTAATTAGTTTTATTATACATATCAGAGTTTTTATTGAGAAGTCAACTATACAATAGTTGATCTCATGGATTATTAACTAAGAGTTACATTCTCCTCTTAAGTTAATAATTAGGAAGACAGTGTTCTTCCTTTGACACTCCAACTAAGATTATCTTCTACGTTGGACCCTCTAACTAAGACTATCGTCTCAGTTCAGCCCCATAACTAAAACTAAATTATATTTTTTATGTTGTTTAATTTTATTCACAATTTGTTCATCAATGAGTAAATTTAATATCGCGTTTAACATTAAATGAATAATCTTTCCCGGTGGATTTTGTTGGTTGGCTGTCATCTTGTAGGTTAACTAGTATATTGATGCTATGTGATTATTTCCTTTGACTGTGAATCTGCTGCTATTCTTAAGACAATTACTTGGCCTTCACTATATGCTGAACCTCATTCATTTGACTGTCTATCTGTGATGAACGATGGCCCTTTTGCTGCAAACACCAAGAAGGCTCACAAGATTCGAACCGGCGCCCAAAAATCATGGGTAGGGCGACTTAATCATTCGGAGTCGCCCACTAAATTATATAATACAAAAATGTAAAAAGGGACTGCATGGGATGTAAGGAAATCAGTTTTGATCTTGTTGAAAATACATCCGTTTCTTTATCTAAGTTTTATGATCCTACCCAAATATCTAAAGGCTGAAGAATGCTGTTGATAAAATAAACTATTAAAATAGTTATTCTAAATAATCACGTACAAATATCCGTTTGTATATTTGATGGATACGTATATTTGATGGAAAATGGTAGACCTAATAAATATACATATTAATTATACAAAACATATGTATACAGTCTGTTTACCAAATTTATTGACATGTAAAAAACCGGAGTTCAGCTACAAATATTATTCCATAAATGGTTTAACAATGTATGTAAAAAAAGTAGCATGATCATGGAAATATTTTTCTATATGTTTGAAGTCTACAAAGGGAATATTTTACATTTTTATTAAATGGTAGTCTCGTTTGATACTAAACATCTATTTGTAAATATAAATTTTACGTAAAATTTAATAATATTTTTTTGTAAAAAAATATATTTTTTTTTCTTTTAATTAAAGTGTTGATGAAATATTTATTGTGAATTAAATATGTTCGTTTTTAATATTTTTTTTAAGATGTAGTTTAATATTCAATTTTTAGTTACATAATATTTTTAACAAGATGTATGTATTAAATGATAAATAAAATGCATTCATTTTTATATACTTGAAACTTAGTAATAGTTTAGAAAAGGAATAAAGGTTTCCAAACACTCTCACTGATTATGTCATTAAGTGATTGAAATCCCATAATGGTATAAAAGTATACAAATCTTTGCACTTTGTATGAATATTTGTCCGTTAGCTAGTATATATACGAATTTATAATATGCGAAAAGGGAGCGCTGATTGTAACAACAACAACTGTATAATTATACAAATTAATGAAATTTGTAACTATGAATATTGTAAATGTGATTTTATTTGTTTGTTCATATGAATATTTGTACTTTAGCTGACGCATATGATAACAACATAATATTTACTACGTTTGTAGATACGAATATTAGAAAAGTGTTTTCTTAAAATTTTATTTGTTAATGTACGTTTACGTGGATACTTGTACGCTCCTAAATATACAGACGTTCATTAACTGCAGATTATATATGGCAACTACAAAATATTTAATATCAACAATGAATATTGTAACTATAAACATTATAAAAGTCTTTTTATTTGTCATTTTACCTTGGTATGAATATTGGACGTTAGTTAATACGAAAGTGTATAAGTATAACACATATATTTACGTTAAGTGAGCGTTAATAGTATGCGGCAACTATAGAATATTTACAATAAATAAAAGAGTTTGCAAATATGAATGTTAGAAAAGTGATTTTATGTCTAATGAATATTTGTATGTTAGTTAGTACGTATATAAATATTCATTAAATACTCTTTGACTGCTCATGGTAACTACAGAATATTTACTATCAATAGTGAAGTTTGTAACTCTGAATATTAGAAAAGTGTTTTTATTTCTCATAGTACGTTAGTATGAATATTTGTACGTCATTTAGTACGTACATAGACGTTTATTTATTACGTGTTGGTTGTATGTGACAACTGTAGTATATTTACTATAAAAATGAAGTTTATAAATATGAATATTGAAAATGTGGATGGTTTTAAGTTATTAACTAAAATAAATCAATGAGGGAAGAAAATATTGTTCAAAACAGTGTAAAGTTATTACTAGTTCGTACTTATGCACTTATTTCGGTGTTATCAGTAATGAGATATTTCGGAGTAGGAGGATTGTGTAGCAATAATAACCGTTTTGGAATCGCAGCCCTGCAGACCCATTACACGTTTTCGGGCCTGGGACTAAGTACGTAATATTATTTGAAAGGGTGGTCGTACTTCTCCACCCTCGTCCTCCTCCACCCCAACAAGCAGTTACAGTAAAACTTAGTCGTCTGCAATGCAGAAAAGCAAACAATAATAGATTTTATTATAACTATTCTTATCTAATTCCATAGAGCGAAATGCACCCTTTCCCACTGCCCTATTTATTTTCCATTAAAATTTCATAGCTCTGCAAATAAAACGAGCTGGGAGTGGACGGATTAATAATTCAGAAGTTCGGGATCTGCGGGAGCGAAGATGGAGGGAGGCGCATCCGGTCAAAGGGTCTACGACGAAGGGATACGTGTATAATATTTATTTCAACACATCTTCGAACTTCACGAGCAGACCATCTCATCCATTCCAATAGAGACTTGGAGACTGAGGAGGGTCTGGCTCGATATTATCTCGAGAAACGTGGAAATCGTAGGGTGCAAAAATAATAAAAGAGATGAGTGTAGGAATCGGAAGGAAATCGACAAAGGGAAAGCATTAAGGGTCGTTATTCGATCGGCGGCTGCTGCTGCTGCTGTGCAAACTTTCTTTGTTTCAAAACTGCTTAAGTTCCAGCAATTCCCATTTATTATTTTTTAATCTACTCACCAACTTAAAACCAATTTTATTACAGGATAAATAATGAGAGGAAAGAAGGATGAAGAAATTGGAGAAGTACCAAGAAAAAAAAAATGTATGTATATATGCGAGCTATTCGCGTATTCAGACTCGAAGCTATTACGTTCAAGTAGACGGAAACTTTGGGATATTAAAAGAAAAGCTAATTTCATACATATTTCCTCAACGCTAATTACATAATAAAACTTTTGCGTAATCGTTTTTGGTTGCTCCCTCCCGGTTTCGTATTAAAACCATCTTCAAAATTTAAATGATATAAAATCTAATATTGCGCTTATTAATAACGTAGTGTTGAACAAAATATTATTTTGCGGTTTTAATTGAATTACGAGAAAATTCAAGATTGGCGTTTTTAGCAATTAAATTTAGTCATTTTTTTTGTATGATAAAAGAAGCACGTTAATTCAATTTTGTACATAGCATAATGAAATATTTTCATTATTGAAATATCTTTCAATTAGTTTTTAATTTTGTTTCGACGTTTTTGTCACATTATAAACATTTAGACAATGTGATAATAATTCGTGTTATTCCTATTTGTTTTAAATAAATTTGATTCATTGAACACAAGTTAATATTATGTAATGTTTAGCAGTTTTAAAATTCATGTAGACTAATATAGTCATTTTCTAAGTTTATTTAGTATCTGTATTACATTATTAAGTACATTATCTTAAGTATAATACAGGTTTTTTACTTAAGTTTTTTAGGTTGAGATTAAGTATTATTTTGATTATTTAAGAAGATAAAGACAGTCTTCGATAATCTGTAAAAACTAATCTTGTTCTAAGAGTTAATCTTGTTAAACTCATACAATTTATAGTTTACTAGGTTTATGTATAGTACTATTTAGTAAGTTTATGAAGAATAATGTAGTATCTCTGTGCCTTAATAATTAATCTTATTATTAGAATTTTGTATATTTAAAAAGACTAAAATAACTAATATTATTCTCAGAATTTGTCTCGTTTAGCTACGTAGACTAAGTCCGGTTTTACTTAATTTTGTTAGATTTAGATTTAGTACCATTTTGTTTGTTTAATATAAATTAGATAGTCTTCCAGAAACTGTAATAATTGATCTTATTCTTAGTAATCATCTTGTTTAGCTACTTAGACTATTAAGTTTGTTATTTTCTTTACTATTTTGCACCTTTAACAAAAATAAGGCAAATTTTGTTAATCTTAGATTTAGTATATTTAAGCATGAGACAATTCAAATCTTCAAATTTAATCTTATTTTTCTTATTCATATAAAAGCCCCCAATTATTATGTTTTTATAAACTTATAAATTCAAGCTATAACAACAATTACTTTCATTGATAGCACTTGCACAAGTTATTTAACAAGTATAACAAACTAATAAGGCAGTTCAA